ATTCCTAATAATACTAGCTACTACAGTTCACAACCCTGCTAACAAAAACAGGGCATACAAGAACAAAGAGAATACAATTTAAAAAAGAAAGATATTCAACAGTCCAACAACAGCAAAATATAATTAAAATGTAGCAGCAGCAAATTCACTTCTATTCTCTATAATATGGACAAGCGAAATACAAAACAAAGTATGTGTTTTACCTTCCAAGGTAGCAGGCAGTAATATCAGTTCAATGAACAGCAAGCTAGCTGAAAGAAAGCCACAGTCAAAAAAAAAAAAAAATCAAACGATTTGTAAAAGACAATGAAATGAAGAACATAATCAAATCAAAACTCCAAAAATTATTTTGCAAACCAACCATGTTGATTATCAAATTATTTGTGGTGTATTGTTTGTACATTCCATACTCTGTGCTTCAAAGGTATTATCAAGCAACCATTTAGAAAAAATTCACAAACTCAATTTGATGTGCAGATTCACATCATTAAAACTACAATCAGTTGGTTCAAATTTCAATTTGATGTTGGCGATTCTTCAATAATATATTTGAATTTTGTATAAGCTAATCATCGTTTTCTTTGGTTTGCCTAAGCATTCAAATTTATACAAATATATATCTATGTGTGTGTGTGTGTGTATATATATATATATATATATTGAACTTTCATTTCTAAACTTCCTGCCTACACACATAGTCACAGACACGCACACATATAGGTACATAGAACCCAAAAAAAATGAAAATGCAAGAAGAAAAAAAAAAAGTAGAGTAAAATTACGGCGAGTGAAGAAGTTCAACAGAGAACGTACCAGAGAAGAGTGAGTGAGTGAGATTTGTGGAACTCTTGGTTACCTCAACGGGTTAGGGAACACACTTTGGAAACATTCTCGCAACTCGCGTTAAAGAAAATCGACGGGAGATAAGATCTAGAAACCATACAGATTAACCATCACATCTAAAAGCCTTGAAGACCAAAATTGAAGCAAAAAAATTCACAAACTCTTATTCTGTTCTTCAAATCTCAAACGATAGTACAAACTCACCGTACAAACTCGAGGACGAAGAGTACAAACGATCGTTGATGAAATGCTTGATGATCAGAAGGCAAACGATTGACGATGAACAAATTGCGATTCGAGCTGAAATGGAGTTAAAGAATTTTGGGGAAAATGCATGGTGTGGTTATCGGCGACCCAAAGACAGTCTAACAAATTATCTGAAAAAAAATTTAAAAGTAATAATAGATCTGGGGAATATACGGTGTCGTTTAGACTTTTCCAACCCCCCTTAGCGTGGATAAAAACCAATTTTACCATTTTGCCCCCAAAAAAACTCGGGGACCCAAAAAAAAAGGCGGGGAGGTGAATAAAAAATGGAGGGAATGGTGTATTTCCGGCCCCTACTAGTGGGCGTCGGAATTGACCCCCTTATTTCTGACTCCAAAAATTTAGAGTCACTAAAAGGGAGTTTTTCTAACTAAATTTTGGGTGTCGGAAAAGAGTGGCGTCCCAAAAACCACCTTTTGTTGTAGTGTATGATATTAAATGTCACTAATTGATGTGAAATTTTTTATAACATACTTATCCATATTTATAAGTGACATTTAATACCAAATTGAATTTTTTATGACATACTCATCCATATTTATAAGTGACATTTAATATCAAATTAAATTAGTTTATCTCGAATAAAGTCTCTCATTAAAGATGGAATGAAAATTTTTGATGATTCTAATTCGAATATATTTGTTATTTTATGTGAGTGAAGAATGCCATCATTATAACGTCATTAAATATAATGATGACATCATAATTGCTTTTCACTTTTGAGGACACATGCAAGTGGTTTTTGGGACCTTAAGTTCCATAGCCAGTATGTTTGATGTTTGGAAGTATCGAGTCGGTTCCTTGAAATTATAATGGAAGAAAATTTTATTCAAAATTTATTTTTTTGATAAGTAATTTTTCTTCCATTTCAATTTCAAATCGTGAATTCCATACTTGTGAACGTAACTTTTAAAATATTTTTAAACATAAGGAAGTGTTTATCACAAATTACAACAGAACAAACCTAGGTGGTGATCTGAAAACATTAATATTAATTAATTGAACACAAAAAAAATTATGTTCATGCATGCATGGGGCATTAAATACAACTAAAATAATTTCAAATTTGTAACAATTACAAATGTGAAATAATTCTAGTTGTGTTTAATGCCAAATGCATGAACATATTTTTTTGAGTTGTCAAGAATACCCTTATATGTATTTAATTGTAGGAAAAAAAAATAACCATATAATAATATTAATATTTATACTCCAAATTAAGCCTAATAATTAACTCATGAAAAGCCAAAATAATCACTTGTTAACACTAAAAGTTTCTAGCTTGAATCCTAAAAAATATATGCCAATCGTTAAAAAAATCAAATAAGAACTCAAACTTAACTCGAGAATATAATTTCTTAAATATTTATGATCGACTGCATACTTAAATCCTATTTACACCATTTCACTATATATAAGGTTATATAGTTTTACATTGACTATATGCCGTTTTATGTATTTTTATTATTATATCAGTGTTAGTTTTATTTTCTTATATTAAAAGTTAATAGAAAGTTCAAATTTGAAAATAAAATATGAAGAATTTGGAAATAAATTATGAAGCTAACCTCAAAATCTTATAGTCAAAGACTTGAATATCGACCATTAATAGCTAGAAAATATGATTTTAATAATTATACTTGGATAACATTGTAGTTGCATCATTAAATTTCACCAGACTTATCTTATTAGAGTGTAAATCATGTTAGACAAATCTGATGGCATGGTTTGCACTCTAACAAGACAAGTCTGATGGAATTTAATGATGCAATATCCATCCAACTGATGTATTGGCTGAATGTGATAATCCCTTATTAGGAGTTCCTTTCTTTCTCATCTCTCTCCCTTTCTAAAATTTAGTGTCATTCCCATAAAAAATTTGAACAAAAATCGAGTTGTTCGGTTTAGATCCACTCAAATCCCACTCATAAGCTGCTCTCAAAACTTGGTTTTGATCAAGAAAACTTTGGGTCAAAATTGAGTGGCTTTCACTAAGCTTTTAGGCGGGTTTATGTTGGAAAGCATTTCTCTACAAGAGTAGACCAACCTTTTATATTTAATTGCTCAAAACCGTTTTAAAAAATTCAATCCAAAATAACTAATGATCAAATGTGGGCTTGGCAGTTTGTCGGATTCGTTAGTTTGAAATGTCGTTATAGGTGAATATAAAAATCATTGCATTCTATGAGACAAGTGCAATTGAGACGTTTAACACTAATGATGCATAAATTGTTTGAAGGACATGGAATATAATTATAGCCTCGAACTATAAATTCTTTAATAATTTTTATTTAATTAATTATTCTGAATTGCACATTAGTTGTTTAATTTGACATATTGATACAATCTTGCATAATCTTAAATAGTATAACACGTAAGCATATAGTTTCCAACATGCAGGTGATCTACACAAATTTTTATTTTATTTTATTTTATTTATTTATTTAAAAGGTAAGGTGATCTAGACATTGATGATACACAGGTTTGCTAGAGGTGAATATTTCAAAGGATTGAATTTTCTGTATCAGAATTTCAGCCCAGGCTCATATCATTTTCATCCCAAGTTCTCGGGGATTTCATTTTCATCCGAAGTTCTTGTTACAATTTCAAAGTACCAATTTCACAGTAAATAAATAAGTAGCTTTTTAAATTTACAGTCCAATCTATGGTTGAAATTTGTTATAACTGCAAGGGTTGTGAGTAAAAAATACTCTTATAGTATGCATATTTAAAAAAATTCCTAATATTCAAATTTGGAGCAAATAAGAACTTAAATGCTGAAAAGATTAAAGTGCCCATCTATAACTAAATAAAAAAATAGGTAAAAAAACTAATGAAATGTGAAATAAATAAATTGTTCATCTTTTTATAAATATAATATAGGGTTGTGGATAAAAAACACCCTTGTGGTATGCATATAAAATATATAACTTCCTGTACATTCTAAACTTCCTTAATATTCAATTTTGATGCAAATAAAGACCTGAATGTTGAAAAGACTAAAGCATCCCTCTACAACTGAATAAAAAATAGGTAAAAAAACTAATTAAATGTAACAAGTGTGTGTATATATATATAAGGACATTATAGGAAAAGACAATGGTATTTTTAAAATTTTATATCTTAAAAATGTAATGTGCAACGCCCATGAATACATTTTTAACAAAAGAATAACATTAAGACATTTTTTGCCACATTTTTTTCAAACTTAACGGACTTATATACTCAAAATAAAAAATATGAGTGTTATTTGCCCAAGATGTAAACATTAGGGGTGTTTTTTCTCACCTTGCCCTTGTAAGTACATTATAGAAAGAAATAAGAGTATTTTCGAAATTTTATATTTTTTTGATCTTTTTTTAAACTTAACTGACTTATATATACAACATAAGCCATTCTTTGCTCATTTTTTCAAGCTTAACGGAATTATATACCCAAAATAAACAATAAGATTGTTATTTGCCCAAAATTAAAATATTAACGGTATTTTGCTCACTTTAACCTAAGTGCAAATAACCCCTCTATCCAAGAGTCTCACAAAAAACATAAAATAAAAAATCCATTTTTGAGAACTTAATTTTTTAAGATTGTAATTTTTAATATATTTTTGTAGATAACATTTGTTTACTCACATATGTATATGTGATGTGGTCCAATCACATATGCATAATCATAAAATCGGAAAAATAATAAATAAAAAAATGATTGAATATACATTTCAAAAAATTATTATTTTTATTTATTAATTTTCTAATTTTGAAATAACATACTATATGTGTGTTTGTACTGGACCGCATAAGCATTCCGGATCATGGAAGACTTGCTTGAATTTTTTTGTTTTGTCATAGCATTTAAATCATTATTATTTTTTTATTATAATAGTAGGTAATAAATTTCTAAATAAACCATTTTATGATAGGTCCATCTAACTTTAATTGTTTTTATGGTCGGCGCAGTTTAGCATCATCAGTGACAGCAAGCAGAGAACGGAGCTGAGTTGTCCGTTCTCACTGTTCTCGCACTGACACATGAAATTTACATTCGTTCATGGCGACCAGATCGCTTAGAATGAAGCCTAATAAGCGATCGAACCTCAAGCCCCGCTCGTCCATGGCTTCGTCATCGTCGTCTCGTTCAAATTGCACAAAGCTATGTCTCTTCATTTCAATCGTTCTAATTATATGTTTTGTGATTCTTATGAGCATTTCGACAAACATGTGGAGCAAGCTCGGAATCAACGCTCAGTCCACCTATCTTTACTCTATCGAAGTAATCAACGAGTTCCCTCACGATCCCAAAGCCTTCACACAGGTCAAATCTTCCTCTAAATCTAAAATTTTACAGAATTGCCGTCGATTTACGTTTTTGATTTTTGTTTAATTAATCTTCTTTTAATTGACTATTTCTGAATTTTATGTTTGTTTGTTTGTATAGCTATTAATGATGAATGCTTTTCTTCTCCGTCACTGAAATTTCATGGAAACTTAAAGTGTTTGAGATTCATGCAGGCATTTTCAGTATGATCACGAAGAAGTTATTAGGCACTAGTCAGTTTAATAATTTTAATTTTGTACAAGTCTGTCGTAATTCAAACTATATTTATTAAGATTTGGGAAAATTAAACACGTTTTTACTTGGGATTACAATTGGATTGATGTAGAAAGTTAGTGTAAAAGTAAGTTGCTAATGAGAATCACTACTTTGTATGTGTTTTTCTTTTCTACATATACGTGTCATTGGAGTGTCTCATGATAGCAAGAACATAATTTAGCTAGTGATTTAGAGCTCCAAATAGAAGCCTACAGACGCTTTTCGCCCAATCATTACGGATCAAGGAAAACTTGCTTGAATTTTTTTGTTCAATTATAGAGAGTGCATTCTTTTCATGTATGTATTGTTTGTTTACTTTTGTGGGTTTGTAATGTTGATGTCTGTTTGCTCTCAGGGCCTTCTTTACGGAGGAAATGATACCCTGTTTGAGTCAACTGGCCTTTACGAGCAGGTGAGTTTGCATTCATGCTTTACTACTAATTTATTTTCTTTTCCCTTTCCGGTCCTTTTTCTTTTCTTTTCTTTTTTGACTAATGATGAAATACGCATATGGTTTTGGTTAAAGTTACTAATGCCCTACCAGTTAACAGTATTTGTTAGATCCTACGTGCAAAACTGAGTGTTTGGTAATTGGACTCGTCTTTGGAACTTAATTTTTGTTTGTCTCTTTCTTTTCTTTTTTTAACAATAGATCATGAATTTTTATGTTAGCTTGATTTCAGTGCTGTTAATTTTATTTGTGTTTGGTTTATGTGTAATTCCTCATTTGATAGTTTTATTTTTGTTATTTCAGTCATCCGTTCGAAAGGTTGCTCTTCAGACTGGGAAGGTATTGAAACTCACTCTTATACTAATGCATTTAATTCCTAGTTTCCTGTTTTTGTTGTCATTAGATTTCACTGCAATTAATAATTATTATTTTGTAAATAACGTGGCAGAAAAGTTTCTTTTTTTATTTTTAATGATTTGTATGCACAAGGCTAGTGGAACAACTGGGGCATTGACATCTAATTTTTTCTTTTTATTGTCTTTACAGGTTGAGGTTCTTCAGAAAATGGACGATTCTTATTTTGGGGAGGGTTTAACTCTACTGGGTGAGAGGTTTGTTAGGGAAAATGGAATTGTTGCAGTTTCTTTGTTCTTTTGATTCAGTAAATGAAGAATTGAATGTGTGAAACTTATTTCTCTGTCCCCCCCCAAAAATATGTCATTTAGTCGTAGTAATTTATACATAATCAATTTAAGCTGTTGTTTAGTAACTATTGTATAAGTATATTTTGCTTTGTAATAGCATTTGTACCCCCAGCCCCTTTATGCTGTTGATTTTTGGCCATTGTTTTGAATACGAAGAATGACCATAATGATACCCCTCAACCATTAGGATCATCTGTGTTTAAAATTGATAATCTATTAACTATTAAGGCATTACTTTATTGTTCCAAGTGTATAAAATTTGATAATCCAACAGTTAACTATTGAAAGGCTTTATAATGTCAATAGGTTAAGAAATTTGTTTCTTTGAACTACTGTTTATACAAAACAATGAAAGTTAGGTCTTGTAACGATCAGAATTAATTTACATGGAAAAAAGCAATGACTACATATATTTGTGAAATTGGACTGTTTTAAAAAAATAATATCCAAACTTCTATATAATATGACTATTTAAGTTGTACATAGTGGTGTAACTTGGAAAACTATGAATCTATATGTGAATTGATAAAATAAATCTTTGGTAACTCATTTCAGCCCTATATTTCACCCTTCCATTCAATGAGGAATTTATTGGTTGTGAAACAGTCATGTGCTTTATATGCGATTGAGTGCTTTTATGAGAACCTAAACTTACTAAATATAAGTTAAACTAATTGGCAATGCCATATTTATAAAAAAGAAAGCAAAAATAATAACACCAACAACAAAGGAAAAAAAAAAAAAAAACAAAACAATGATATGGGACAACAACCGGGCATAAAGCCTTTCATATTTTACTTATAGTATCTGATTATGCATCGCCCATGAAGCAATAGAAATGTTGTTCATTTTTTTATTTATTTTAATGAAAATCTTCTAGAACAGTGTCCTGTGTAGGTTCTTCCCTGGAATTATTATTATTTTGATTGTTCTACAAAAGTAAATGAAATAGTTAAGATTTATGCTTTTCTTCATGCATCTCATTATACATTTTGCTAATTATTTTGTTTCATAGATTATTGTAATGATAACATTCAAAAGAGTCCAAAGTTTTGATATAGTTCTCTTTTGCACATTTGTAGGTTATTTCAAGTAACTTGGTTGAAGAAAACTGGCTTCATATATGACCGAAATAATCTAAGCAAAGTTTGTTCTTGGCCTTTTTCCTTGTATAACTTTTTTGTTATCTGTTCTTCTTTTTCCAGTTCATGATTTAATGTGAATTAAACACTAAAAATGGCAACAACTGAATTCTGTTATGTTTCTATCTCAGTTATCTAGAACTTACCATATATTTCCTTGAATGGTTTCACTATTCATTCGCTATGTTTAGAGTTGTACTAGCGGCTATTGCTTGATGCGATGTTAAAAGTTGGAGCCTACGAGTACGAGAATGTGGGTTCTGTTTGTAATTTATAGAGTTTAATTCTATTCACATTAGTGGTTCAAATTTCAGACTTCTTTAGATTTCCTTGATTTAAGTCCTTTGCTACATTATTTCAAGTCTAACCCAGGTTAAAAGGTAAAAACCTTAGTAAAGGTCAATGTTGTCAAAGCATAAAAATGTCCCATGATTTGTCATATTCTACAATTTTCGAACACAAACATGTGTCTTGGCTTGTGATGTAAAGCACAATTGTCGGACCCAGGTGTCATGTTGGTAAATGACGAATCCTCTAATTGTCCATAGGGAGTAATGTTTGTTGTGCGGAAGCGTGAAACAAGACAATGATTTACGTGGTTCGGCAATGTGCCTACGTCCACAGGAGCTTAAGATCAATGTTTGGAAATATCAAAACCCAAAAGGGTTACAAAAGGCTCACAAGAGAGAAATTTATACAAAGTCTTCCAACGTTCTCTATTTATAAGAGAACTGATGCATGAGTTTAGCTGATATGTCGATAGTGGAGTGCTGATAATAACGGATGGTGGCAGACCCACGTCTGCCAACACTACTATATCTAAAGCCACTATACCAAATTTGACCCTATAATAAGACGTGGTAATAAGGGAGAGTGGCAGACCCACGTCTGACTCACGTCTGCCATAATCAACAATCTCCACCTCGGCGAAAAATCTGTACATCTTCCGAAGTGAAGTATTTTCAAACGTGATCTTGAACTGCCTCCAAATGTGCCCAAAAGGCGCTCAAACTCGCAGGATGTTAATCAAGTTTAAGCAATGCTCAAACTTGACCTTCGTTACAACCTTCGTTAGCATATCTGCGGGATTATCCGCAGTCCCAATCTTCTGAAGGAGAATATCGCCTTCATCCAAATTCTCACGAATAAAATGGAAACGGACATCGATGTGTTTTGTACGTGAATGATGAACTTGGTTCTTTATCAAACAAATAGCACTTTTACTGTCGGAATAGACATCAACATGCTCCTAAATAATCCCCAAGTCCATAAAGCAACTGTGGGCTGTAATGTTGACCTCCAACTCACCGGTCCTCTAGCAAGTGTGAACACATAACCTGTAGTTGATCGACGTATATCCATATCACCAGCGTAGTCCGAATCCATATAATCAACCAAATGCTGACCAAGTCTATCATCCCGCTCAAACTTCAAACCAACATCCACAGTACCTTGGATGTACCGTAAGATCCACTTCATTGCCTGCCAATGACCTCTTCTTGGGTCATGCATATACCTGCTCACCATACTAACGGCTTGTGAAATGTCGGGTCTCGTACATACCATTGCATACATTAAACTTCCAACTGTGCTTGCATACGAAACATGAGCCATGTGTGCACGCTCTTCATCTGTGCTTGGAGATAATGAAGCATTAATCTTGAAATGAGGGGCCAAAGGGGTACTTACAGGTTTAGTATTTGAGTCCATACCAAACCGATGTAGCACCTTTTTCAAATATTGCTTCTGAGCAATCAAACAATGCCCTTCATTCTATATCTGCTAATCTCTATTCCAAGTATCTTCTTAGCTTCACCAAGATCCTTCATCTCGAACTTGGTACTCAACGTAATCTTCAACTTATCAATTTTAACTCTGCTCTTAGATGCAATTAACATATCATCATGTATAAGAGCAACTATACAAATGATCCATCACGAAGCTTACGAAAATACACACAGCGATCAAAATGGCTTCTTGTGTACTGTTGCCCTTTCATGAATTGATCAAATCATTTGTACCATTGCCTTGGACTTTGTTTCAACCCATATAACGACTTCTTCAGTTTGCAAACCCAATTTTCCTTTCCAACAACCTTAAATCCATCTGGCTGAGACATATAGATTTTCTCCTCCAAATCACCATGTAAGAAAGCACTTTTGACATCGAGTTAAGGTAACTCGAGATCAAACTGTGCAACCAAAGCTAGCAAAATACGAATGGAAGAGTGTTTCACAACGGGTGAGAATACCTCATTATAGTCAATCCCTTCCTTTTGCGGGTAGCCTTTCGCCACCAATCTAGCTTTGAATCTCACAGTGTCTTGCCCTGAAGAGCCTTCCTTCTTGGTGTATACCCACTTGCACCCTAAAGCCTTCTTCTCCTTTGGAAGCTGGACCAATTCCCAAGTCTGATTCATATGAAGAGACTGCATTTCTTCGTCCATTGCTTTCTTCCAATCTACACTTTCTGAACTTCTGACAGCTTCTCTATAGGTAGATGGAATGGCATCTCATCAACAGGTTGCCTACAGCTGCGAATGAGCGCAAAACACCCATGGAGGTATGGTTTGGGAAACCTGCTACAGATTATGATTTTCTGCGAATATTTGGTTGTATTGCCTACTTTCATATTAAAGAGAGTAAGTTGGATCCTAGAGCCAAGAAAGCCATATTCTTGGGCTATAATAAAGGTGTAAAGGGGTATAGACTTTGGTGCCCCGAGTTGAAGAAAATCATTAATAGCAGGGATGTTACATTCGATGAGTTTTCAATGTTAAAAAGTTCTCCTACAAAGAACAAGACCAAAGAAGTTTTGCAGCAGGTGGAGCTTGAGGCACCAATTTTTCTAGCATCGAAGACTGTTGATGTACAGATTTTTTGGCAAGGTGGAGATTGTTGATTATGGCAGACGTGAGTCAGACATGGGTCTGCCACTCCCTTTATTACCACGTCTTATTATTGGCTCAAATTTGGTATAGTGCAGCCGTGGATCAGACGTGGGTCTGCCATTATCCCTTATTATCAGCACTCCACTATCAGCATATCAACTAAACTCATGCATCAGTTCTCCTATAAATAGAGAACGTTGGAAGACTTTGTAAATATCACACACACAAAGAAACAATGATTTACGTGGTTCAGTAATGTGCCTACATTCACGGGAGCTCAAGATCAATGTTTAGAAATATCAAAACCCAAAAGGGTTACAAAAGGCTCACAAGAGAGAAATTTATACAATATTTCTCTCCACACTTATTGCTCACTCAACCCTCACTGAAGCTCTTTCAGCGCAAAACACACACACAAGGAAGACAATGATTTACGTGGTTCGGCAATGTGCCTACGTCCACGGGAGCTCAACATCAATGTTTGGAAATATCAAAACCCAAAAGGGTTACAAAAGGCTCACAAGAGAGAAATTTATACAATATTTCTCTTCACACTTAGTGCTCACTCAAAGCTCACTGAAGCTCTTTCAGCGTATTCTTGGATATTTTACAAATTCTTCCAACGTTCTCTAGAATTGATGCATGAGTTTAGCTGATATGCCAATAGTGGAGTGCTGATAATAAAGGATGGTGGCAGACCCACGTCTGCCAACACTACTATATCCAAAACCACTATACCAAATTTGAGTCAATAATAAGACGTGGTAATGAGGGAGAGTGGCAGACCCACGTCTCACTCACCTCTACCAATCCACGTCTGCCGTAATCAACAACGTCCCCACATATGTAGGTTGTAACAGATACAGCTTTGCAGGTTTCTGCCCTTCCACTTGATGTAATTATCAATTGCTTTCGTAATTGCATCATACTGGACTTTAAAATTCTCTTGCAATTTGAATTACAGACTATTATTTCCTTGGATTGGTCCTTAAACAGCAACAATCATAATTGTTAATATGGTCCATTTAGAGGGAAGATCACTAATCTCAGAAATCAAATGAAGACAAAATGAAATAGGAAGGTTTAATGCTAAGAAGCACGGACACTTCTATGAAGGTGATGTGTCTGTGTCCAACACTGTGTCGACACGACACTAGATGGATACCTCATGGATGTGTGTCTGATACTTCATGGACATGTCCATATTTTAGAAATAGTTTTTATTAATTTGGACACTTGGCCGATCATCCCGGACACTTGACCGAAACATCCTGGACACTTGACCAACACATTCTACACTCTCTCCAATACAAGTCTTACATAATACAAACATATAACAATCTTGAAATTGATACAAATACAGTTCTAAGTGTCCAACATCTTTTTTGTTTAAAAGAAAATTGACAGTGTGTACATATCGTAGCATGTAAAGACACTTCCCATATAATGACAAGGTGGGAGAGTAATAACACATATAATGTAATATCCCTAATTTTAAAAGGATAGTCTTAGTATTTATTTATTTGTTTTAATTGTATTTTTAATTATTTAATTGATTATTTGACTAATTACTTATGGGTTTAATTGAATTAGGTATTACTTGATTATTTGATTATGAGTCTATGTATTATTTGTATTTGTCTATGTGTTAATTGTTTAATTAGATTATGTGCTTAAATGGTGTTTTGATTAATTGTAAATTAAATGTTTTTTTTTTCTTTTATTATTTTATTTTATTTTTCTTTTATGGTTATGGTTAGTAGTAATGGGCCAACCAATTGGGTCTCATGGACTACTTGGATAGGAGGTTGGATGTGTATGGATTATTACTCATGGATAATTGTGTATGTATATATATAGATATATTATATACATATATAAAAGGAAAAATAATTTATTAATTACTTTTATGGTAACTTGGATAGTAATATTTAATCTGATGTATATGTTCTATATTTAAATAATAAAAATATATATAGATTTGATACGTGTTATGTTTTGAGTTACTTTATAATATTATGGTAACTTAAGTATTATTGGATAATCCATTAATAAATAATGAATGTATATAGTTTATTTATTTAATAAAGATATGCATAAATTATATACGTAAC